TGCCCTCACTCCCCGGTGTGTTTAGTTTCTCGACATGGAGACTTCTTGTCTTACGCTAATCGCTGTCATGTCACCCGCAAATCCACAGCGACACTACAAGACCCGCCTTGATGAAGTGGCTTTTATTTATTTAACCTTTATTTATCAAGGCAAGACCGAGTCACTTTTGCAAAGGCGACCAGGCAACTGAGGAAAACAAGATAGGATAAAAGCTAATACAAATCAATGTATGCTTTTTAAAAACAATTGGGGCAAAAATAACCCAAGTTATGGGTCCAAAAGCGAGGTTTGACACAACTATTCATTTCACTTTGAAAATTGGGGCAAATGAATAGATTACAAAGCAACCCAATTTTGGTGTTGTTTCATCCATCCATCCATTTTCAACATCATCTATCCTGAAGAGGATCGCGGGAGTTGCTGGAGCCTATCACAGCTGATTTCGAGCAAAAGGCGGAATAACTCCTGAACTGGTCGCCAGTCAATCACAGGGCACATATAGAGACGAACACCCATACACACCCACATTCACACTGTCACTGAGTGGGAACCGATCCCACGCTGCCCGCATATAAGTCAGGCAAGTGTACCACTACACCATCAGTGACTTTGTTTCATACAAAATAACCAGTTTTATGTTGCTTTGTTAGAAAAAAAATGTTTTCTGGGTTATTCATGTGAACCAACTTTTCGGGTTAGTCATTTAACCCCAAAGACCGTGAGTCCTGTTTTTGACCCCAAATTTAGTTATTTTTCTGTTTTTATAATGTACAGTACTCCACAAACTCACCAAAAGCGCATGTCCATGGATGAGGCGTGCATATACAGCAGAGTGGATAGATGATGCTCAAAAGCTTTGGCAAATAATTTAAGAATTCAACAGAAACATCCAAAAGGTCCAATCATACTTTGACCTGAATACAGAAACGAAACTAAAACAGAAATGAAAAAGCTTGACATAAGCTGACCTCCTTGAACACAGTTTTTACTTTTCAAAAAGTGTTTGTGCAGTAATGGACTTTCTTTTCTGTTTGTAGACTTTCATATGGGTAACAGCAATAATAAACCAGAAAGAACAACTCCAAAAGAACAAGTACAACATAACTTGGTTAAGGTTTGCTTCACACAATGTTGTTACTTTTTGCTAACAGCACATTTCCACGAGTCTTGCCTTGTGTCTCATTGTGTTTTAGTCACAGTTTTGGTTTGTTACTTTGAATCTTGTTTTTGTGTGTGTGGGAGGGGCCCGTGGGGGCGGGGGCTTTGCAAATGTAGTATTTTTGATCAATATAAAGACTTTTTACTTTTTATGTTTTTTGTTTTTTGAGGTTTACTCCTGCACACCGGTCTTGCCTCCCTGCTTGCCTGCACTTGGGGCCACCACCCTCCACTCAGCACACTTCACTCCATGACTCTCCATGCTTTGGTCTCCAGCCACCGTTACATTTTAGAAATATGATTTAGTATTACTGTAAAACAATAATGCATTTGTATAGCCGTCCAGCAGGACACCTCGCTAAGGCTTAAAACCCAGAAACTTTTTAGAATTGCTGTTTTATTTTGCAACATTGCTGTGATATTTACCTGAAATTAAATTTTTGAAAAAAAAACGATCGTCGGCCTCTCGTATATACAGGTTGTTCAACCCTGCACACGGCAAAACAGTTCGGTAGCTTTCGGTGAGCCGAAGGTCGGCGTTTAGTATAATGCAAACTGATCAGGAAGTGAGCCAGCAGCTTTCTATCAACCACTCCTAGCTACAATCTGTCTTGGTCTGCAAAGACTCTTTTACCCTTATGGGTTCAATGAGTCGAGGTCCTTCATGGTTCCCATGCCAAGTCGTGACAGACTGAGGACATTTTTCCATCAGGAGACTAATTGACTACAATTAGCTGGTTCGTAGTCCGTAATCTGCACTGCCTCTCACCCAAAAGTCAGCTGAGATCGGCTTCATCTTACCCGCAACCACATTGATGGCAAGCGCTGTAGAAAATTGATAAATGAACACTAATAAACCCTTCTTCAACAGCTTTAAAACAACAAATACGCCCCCCTTCCCCCCCATGCATTCAACAGATGCCACTATTGTGCACTCCACGTAAGAAAAAGGCTCCGTCAATTTCAGCAACAGTGAGCAAATCAACTCGTCAAATTGAGCCTATTCGGACTTGATGGCAACAGCAGCAGGCGCCCACTGGCTCACATCTCATTTTTAAACACATTTACACTCATGAAACACACACATAAAACAAATCGCACACACACTCACTGCTCATTTGGATGATTTCTTGCCCTTAAGCTTAATGGTCATTGATTAAGCTCATGCATAATAACAGTGGCGGAACTGCTGAGGTATTAAATACTGCAATCACAGTGTCATGGACCTCGGGTTCTTGTTTTGATCATATTTTCCACGTTGGTGTGTGATTATGCGAAGAATAACTGCAATGTTTGTTCCTTTACACTGGAATTACAATGCAGGGAAAGGGTTTGTCATAGAGATGCAAAATGCTTAAGAAATACAAGTATTTCTGTTGCGGGCGGGATATTTTGCAGGTTTATTCGAGGGGGCAGTGGGGTTCACACATGGATTGTTAAGAGTTGCTATTTTCATGCATTCATTAGTACATTGAAACTCCTCTACAACGAAATTGTTTGCAGCAAGAACTTTTTCACAACAGGGGACTTTTCACTGTAGCAAATTTTGTCTCAGACGTAAACACGAACACATACAAAAAACGTATATGTGTACTTTTTATTTTTATTCCACTAGTGCATAAATATGACCATACACTTATTGAGCCCACAGTTCAAAGCAAGTATGGCGAAGAGACATTTATCGTAGGTGTTATGCTTGCGCACAAATGGAATAAGCTGCCAACAGAAGTCAGCCCCGAGTGTAAAAGCTTTTAAAGCTAAATTAAAAACGTTGCCTCCCCCCTGCCCCTATCCCTTTGATTCAGGTCTTTTAAACATTTTAAATGTATTTTCACAACACGGTCTTTTGGTGATTTTAGAAACGTACTTGTTTCTTGTGTATTTCTTTACTTTAAGTAATGTTTTTAAATGTTGTCAATGTGCATCCTTTTGTCATTTTGGTAAGGGTAATTTTGCTTTGTCCGCTTTGCTTCTGAATGCTGCTCGTAACTGCTTGTGTGAAGCACATTGCGTTGCCTTGTGGTTGGAATATGCCACATAAATGAGGCTGTCTTGCCTTTGCTTTAAAAGAGCTAATAAAGGTTTCATGATGGTGCGGAAAGGACTGTGTTCGACCTTCGAGGTTCCACTGTAAAACGCAAAGCTTCGATTATAAGGTTATAATAAACTGTGTTTGCTGTTATAAGCCACAGTGTCACGAATCTTTTATCAAACCTAACCAGAGTAAATCTCATTCTACTTTAAAGAAAGAAAAAAAAACAGTCTGTGTATGACGCAATAAGTCTCATCAGCGAGTACATGAACTGGGGAAGGAATTGAAATATTCATGAGGAGCATCTCAAGACTCAGAGCATCGAGCTGAAAGATGTCTACATGAGGATGAATGATGCGAGGGGGGGGATAATGAACCGCACTTTTGACAAAAACAACAGGTGCTCAGACAAAGAGACACAGAAGGGCTGAGGAAAACAGAGCCAAAAAGACTGATTGTATCAATTGTTTTGGGCGTTGAGAGAAAAAGTGATTGATGCTCAAAGAGTCGGATTTTTGAAAGTAATTGGAAACCCTCGCAGCTTGTTAGTGCAGAATGGTAATTAATATCAAATTGGTTGACAAAGCAGAAACCATTCGCTTTGTGCAAGACTGACTGTGGACAAAGTGATGAGTGGGCATTTTAATACAACCACGTTTCCATGGAACTGTTCGTGTGTTTCTGAGACGAATGACACAAACGATGAAGCATTTTTGTGTAGTAGTAAAAAATTAAAAAAAAAAAAAAAAATCATCCCGGCAGCAGCCTATGGGCAAAATAAAGGCTAGATTTCCAGTTGTAAAGTCTTCATGGCCACATAGCTTCACTGGAGGAAAACATCAGTCATTCCTTCTCTCATCAGTGACCTCCCCTGAAGACTGAAGATATGTCTAATAATGCTTATAATGAATGCAGCGCCACACACAGAGGTAAATCCCGGGCTGTAAGATCAAGACTATGCTTGGCTTTTACGTTTTTGTACATTCATTCAGCTGCACTGAAATGATTTGTTGTGCATCCATCTATCAATTTTGTATCGCGCTTGTCCTCGTTAGTCATTGACAGCTATCAATGTGAGGGTGTTTCAGGGGATAGGCATGAAAGAGGGCGTTTTGGTGTGCATTAGCCTTGTTTGTATTGAGTCCCACTCTGCCCCTATGTCGTATGGCGTTGCACAGGGTTCTATTTTGGAGCTCCTGCTGTTTTCACTGTATTTGCTGCCCTTAGTTTCCATCTTAAGAAAACATGGTGCTTCCTTCCACTGCTATGTGGATAGCAATCTGATCTATGTTATATATGGCATAAATGATTTAAAAAATACGGAAATCTTATGCATTTTGAACGTGGATGTTTTGCCTAATATTATCAACATAACATAGCAGATACATTTTCTTTGCAATTTTTATATGGGGAATTAGCATCACTCACAGCGCAATTCATAACTGAGTATCTGTAAATATTTTTTCACCATCCAAACTTCCACAGCCCTTTCTCAGTCTTGTTTCTGTTAATGTGAGGAGTCACAAAAACAAAATATGTGGACGTCAAATCACTGCTTTGCTTGTGGTGTTTTGGCTGAAATCAATCAAAGTTCTTTTCCTCTGGTCACTAATTGACAGAAAATTGTAGAATCAAACTTTGTGGTGAAACAGAATGCACCTCCTCTTAATTTTGGTCGGTTCTGTGTTCACGCTGACATTGGCTGTGAAATTGATGGATGGGGTCTAACCTTTAAAGCCCCACTTCCAAATCTTTTGATGCCTATGATGTACTTTGGTGTTATTTGCGAAATGCGAGCTTTATACCTGACAATGTGCTGGAACGGGGTGCCTTTAGGGACAGCAGGATCCTCTGTAGCCATCTTGAGCTATCTTGGATCCATATTCTTCCTCTTGTTTCCCACAGACACGTGATCCCTTGGAATATGGAAACCTTTTCCATTGTTGTGGTTAGGAATAAATCCGCACCCCTGCAGTTTTGCAGCTCAGCTATATGAGATGACAGAAAGACAAGAGGAATTGGAAAAAAAAAGAAATTAGGGATATTCTGCAACTCATTTTAATTCGGATGATTCCCATTTTCTCGCTCAGTTGATTCCAAGCATCGTGCGTATTCTACAGTGTGTATGTGAGTGGGGAACAATTTAGCCATCCTCCTGGGTTTCCGTTAATGTTTGCCTGTGCTTAGAAGCAGCACAGTGCATCCTCTGACATGAATAGTCCTCGTTATCGCCTTCTGTCTCCCGTACGAGCAAGCGTAACATTTTTGCACTTTTGGCTAAAAATAAGTCTGCTTCCGAGAGGTGCTGGCCATTTTAATTAACTCCAATCCCAGGTGCGCCGTAACAGCTTAATGGAAATTTAAAAACAGCTCTCACAACACTTTGTATTGCGTCTATTGACTTTAGCGCAGTTCCGCTAGTTGACATGTATATATCCGTTTTTAATCCTTTGCGTTTCTTCTGTCAAACATGCAAATCCGTCCAAGTTTCCATTTTTGTCACGCCCTTTTCCTTTCTGGTTTCGAGACGTAATCCCGAGCTGCAGTACTAATAGCATTAGCATAGCATATCCAATCCCTTTATATGGAACTCCGACTGAGAGTCGACAGATCGCAGTCGCACTTTACTGACAACACTACATTTCCCATGATGCACTACGCATACAGTATGTTTCATGCAACTAATTTGACGTAAATTGAATTTCGAAACATTTTAAAAGACTTTTGTGAATATGTAATATATAACCCTGTGATATGCTTTGGTCAAAAAATATGATAACAAATTACAAACATTTCAGCCTATTTTTGAAAAATAGGCTTCAAATCAGCCTGTCGTGAGGTGACTATCCTAATTTATGCAAAGGAGCCACTGTTCACCCCGCCCACTTGACAGAGTACAGCTTCCGTGTCTATTAATACACGAGGGATGGAGTTCGGGGGTACAGTAGTCACAAGGAGAGGGGCCCAAGTGTGAAGTAAAAAAAAAAACCAAAGCGAGCTGCAATGAAGTTGAAATTCCCTTAAAGCCTGTTCAATTGTCAATATCAATCAAATATCAAAGATACTATTATGAATGCGACTTTGTCTAGCTTTAGTTTTTTTTTTATGCCTACACATAAATACATGCATGAGCCAGAAAAAATATATTCGATTAAACACTCCAATGGCTAAAATATATTTTTCCCTTGAACATAGCTGATGTTTGAACGACCATAACCATTACTTTTTAATTAAAAATTGTCTTTCTTGTAGGTTCTGAAGCTGCTGCACCTTCACTCCAGTCTCTGTTCGGCAGACCTCACATTTTCAACACCGCCAATGTAAAATCCCACCAAAGGTCAATAGCAGACGCGACGTAATCTGACTGAAATTGGAGCAATTTACTTGACTGAAGAAGAACTCTTTCTAGCCTCCAATCACTGGAGACAAAGTGTTACATGTTAATGTGAATATGCATAATTCATGAAGGTATGTAATGCCTTAGGTAAGAAAGGTAAAGCTATGCTCGATGGCCACAACACTGCACTATCGAATGAGATCGCATACAAGAACAGTACGAAGTCTTTATTCAGATCATAACGCTCAGCTATCACCGACACTGTCGGACGATGATATTGCAGTCAAGTTTCTTACCACAATCATAAACCGATTATTGAAATAATACCTCTGTGACAGTTTCAATCAGAACTGAGGATGGAGTGGATCTCATTAGATTGCACGGGTGGACCTAAAGGGTCTTGTGAATCATAATGACACTTCTGTATCCATTTCCAGTGAATGAGCTTGGGAGAAGAATATCTAGATTTACTACATGTACTTGTGTCAAAGCCATGTTACCTTCCAAGGCGTCCAAAGACAACCGAGCCAAGTCTCGGTGGGCTTCCTTCCAGGCTCAGTTTGCCAGCCCGCCAGCTGCCCAAAGTCTTTTCTCAGCTCTGACCTGTTGCAGCGTGTGAGTCACGGCTTGAGAGGAAACAGCTTCTACCATCCCGAGTCAATATTTGTATTTTGCTGTTTGTGTCTGACAGAGTGAGAGAGAGGAATAAGGAGAGAGAGGGGTGCGGGGGGTGCACAAAAGCAGTTGTCAGGCAGAGCCTAATGATTCGAGATGAAAGTCGACTGTCGAAGATAAGTCAATTCTTTGCTCTGCTAGTTTTGCTTCTCAGTTTAATGATTTGGCTCCAGACGACTAATGCTAATGCCTGTTGCCGTATTTTGGTAATGTGGCCTTGTCTTTTGTTTCCCGGGCATGCATGCGCAGAATGTTAAACTTGGCCTGCGCTGCACCCGGAATGACATCACCCAGACGTTTAATTTAAGAGTGCTTACGCCACGCGTGAGCCTCCATCCGTGCTAGTGTAAACACAGGAAGGCAAGTGCACACTCTTACCTGTGTGCATTGTTGACACAGAAGACGGGGGCTCCTGTGCAATAACGCAGAATAACTTTCTTCCACTGGGGGAGGCTGATGAGGATTGGATGGGAAGGGAGAGGTGAAGTGTGTGCACACAGGGGAGAGCAAGATGCATGACTCCGGCTCAGGGATACTGTAAAGCTGTTCGCAGAGGCAGCGGGTCATTGAAAAAAGCTTAACGGGTTAGTGCGCTGCCAGCAGCAAAGGAAGCTGCGGGGGGCTGGAGAATAAAAGTAAAGGGATTCACATGAAGAGAAATCTCAGGAGTGGGGTTTTACACCCCGAGTCAAAGACTGTAGTTGGGGCAGCTTCCGTCTCGGACTGGATTAAAGTCTTCTTGTACCGCTTCTGCCATGTTTGTTTCAACTCCAGACGAGATCAGGAGAACATCCGTACAATTTATGGACATCTGCACAATCACATGAGATCCAGAACAACATCATGGATTTTCAAAAGCTTTTGTCTTCAGGTGAGCTGACCGGTCGATAGGCAACATGCTGGAATCAGAATTCAATACAAAGAGTTCCTGAAGGGTTTGCTTAGTTCACTGCTTAAGAGGAGGTGAGAGGTGTGGCGGGAAAACTCATAACTGCTTCACCATGCTCATCCTTAAGTTCCTGGTTGAGAAGAACATCGCCGTGCTGGAGCAACTTTCCTAATTAGGCGACCCATTTCCCAAGCTCAAGTGGACCTATTTCCAAAACATGGTCGACATCAAAATGCCAATGATCACGAGACAGCATAAGATCCAAGGAAGAATCTTTCCAGGACTGCATGAAGACCAACAGAGAAGGCCAACAAAGTGCTTTTAGGTTAACACTGCATGACAATTCTGATTGTATTTGATTTTTAAAAATTTTTTTTATGTTACAATATAATTCAGATTTTTTCAAATCCAACCCAAGCCTCTTATATAAAAAGATATACATTGGATATGTATCTGATGCGTCTGCAATATAGATGCTCAGCCACGCAGACGGTTCAACTGTGACGTATCAATGGCAGGACATCTTTGGTTGCAGATTGCGGCAAATGGCTTTAACAGGGGGCAATGGGATCATTTCTGCATTGTCCCTTCTCTCTCAATCTCTCCATGTCCTCAATGGGATTTCTGGTGCGAGGAGCTATCTTATAAACAGATAAGCGAGGAACTTGGAAGTTGGAAATGAGATGAGCCCCCTACACGCGGGGCCATAATCGCTTCCACAAATACCGCACCACGTCATTTTGTTTTGTGCACATGCATGTCACTTGCGATCATGGTTCATGATCATGTTTGTCACTTCATCGATGTATTTCGTTCATATTAGAAGTCACATTTGATTTCGGAATGTGAACGTCTACGTATAAAGATCGTGTTGAAAGAAAAAAAAACCCTTTGGTCATCATGTCCTGCAGTGAGAAGGTAGCCTTAGACTCCATGGGCATTACAGTACTTTGAAGGGGAAAACCTGTAGTTTGGATTTAAAATACCTCTTGTTTATCAAGATTTGTGACACCAGTGCTGGAAGTTTCTGATACACCTCATATGAACAAGAAAGCATTCAGGCTTACCACCTATGGAGATTTAGAGTCACAATTGCAAGTCCGTATCTCTAAGGCTCTCGCACGGGCACAACATGAGGTCTCCACCAAGGAGGGCCTGAGCCGAGATTAGAACACAGAAACTCTTGACTGTGAGGCAGACATGCAAAGCGCTCCTCCCCATCCTGCCCTCAGACGTCTCTAAGAGAAACGTAGATTTTATGAAGAAAGAAGAAGGAAATTTAAGCATCACAGAAGCAATATTAACAAATCAAACTGTGATTCACAAATGTATTTGACCATTTGTCATTTATCCAAAAAGAGACCCTCCAAGTGCTTTTATGGGGACGGTTTTCATTCTGGCAGCTCTCAACATGTTGCTGTTTTGAACAGGAATGAAAAAAATTCTCATTGAATTGACTTTTTGTTCTAATAGGCAACTATTGACCGGCTTGCTCTGTTTCTCAAAGATGTCGGAAATTAATCATGCCCCCTTAACCACTAAAATGAAGTTTTCTATTCAGAGATGCAAGTAAATAATTTGAATTTGGCATCTTAATCAAGAAATAATAATGTGCTTGAATGTTTTTCCAGTTGAAAATGCAAGCATCGTTAATTTTACCTTCGATTCACTCTGTAGTAATCATTCAAGACACCAAATGACCAAATTCGGGGCAACCGCAGCATCAACCTTACCTTGGGTTCATACATATTTTAAGCACCATATTTTATACATTATGCAAAAACTACCAGAGCAAAACAACAAAAACTTAAAACATTTGCAGAAGGCAGCCTCCAGAAAGTGTAAGTGAAAATAAAAGGACTAATATTGAGAGTTATAATAACATATATACTGTCTTGGCAGGCTCCATCAGTTTTGTTGATGTTCAGTTCTTCAGATAGAGTTCCAGACAGCTCTCCGTATTATATTAAACACTGTTCAATTATTAAAAGCCCGCTCACTGGACATGCCTGCCTTTGGAATAGACAGTCTTTATTTGGGTTTGTCGGCTCGTTCATGTTTTTCTTCCCTTTCCATACAGCGCTTCTCTGCTACAACTTCATGTATGGGAATAAGTTGCGCAAAAAAATTGTTTTAATGCAAGCCAAGCCACTTTTTCCACAATTTATTGAAGAGTAGTTGATTTTATTCTGTATTCGTATTTTTTTGGTCAACCGTTTGAAAATAGTTACTTTATTTGTGTGTGTTCTATTGGAAGAGAAGGCAACGATTTGTTCTATAGATTGTTGATATTTTGCAGTTAATTTGAATAAATTGTTTCATAACAGCTTTCTGTTTAAGCTGGTAAGGCAAGTAGTTTAGGATTTTTCAAGATTTTGAGATGGCCGACGGCCCTGTATCTCACGAGACTAGTTCTACTCCTGCACTGAACGGCAGCCGAATCCCATCTCTACATTCCGAACTAAAACGAGAGCGCACTGTACTCGGCAGAACATTTTTAAAACATTGACTTGAGATTCATTAATGTGATATCTTCATAAATCGGATCGTGACGCAAAACAGAAAGTCGAAAAAATTATTTTTGCTTCTAAAACGGCGTTATCTTTATTCACCGCTGGGTTTTGAAGATAAGATATGTTACTGTTTTAGTCATAAATACTTTGAATCTTTGCACATTAAAAAAAAAAAAAAAAACCTCCATCATACGGGTCAAATGTTATATTTGGCGTATGCCGCAGGCCGCTTAAAAATGCATGGTGGTCTGCCAATGGCCCCTGGGCCATATTTTGGACAACACAGGTTTCCTTATCACTTTGGAGTCATTCTTAGCAACCTGGCACTGTTTTGTCCATAATTTGCAAAAGAGACCCCGCCCCACCCCAAAGTTGCATGTCCATCCATTTTTTTTTTTTTTTGGATTGAATTAATTAATCGCCTGTGAGCATGGCTATCTTTAAAAATAACACAATAGATTCAGCAAATGACGTGATGGCACCAGAGGCATCATTGAAGTGGGTATGCTTCATCCCCTGCAGACCATTAATGTCTGCGCAAACATTCATGGCAATCCATCCTGTGGAGATAAATATACGACCAAACATTGCCATGCGCAGTCACACCGATATAGCATAACTGGAATACCAATAAAAGATTACGCCTGAAGTTACAAATGCAAATAAAAGGAAGTGCGGCAAAGAAAATGATGAAAATCTGCTCCGGGTTTATTGTAAATGCGTCTCCGATATGTGCAAAAATCCAATTTAGGTCCACTCCGCCTTGACCAGCGAGCTTATGTTCACAAAGCATAAGTCAAGGACGGTGAGCCAGTCGGTCAATATGAGCCTCATCTAATCCAATCCGTGGAGGTGAAATGGTAGCCGCGGCGAGACAAGCGAAGAGCAGTCATGTCACAGGCTGAGACCTCCAACCCTATGAAGAGAGGAAATGAAAGAGGCGAGGAGGTGCAATGCCCCTGACAGGGGAACAGAAGGAGTGCAATTGTGTCATTTGGGTTAATTATTTGACTCCAGGCCAAGTACCAATATGTATCTTTTCAATGGACAAAAAAGTTACAGGTATCAAGGAGTTTCGTAAGACATTGCACCTCGAAAGCTGCAAACATGTCGTCTACTTCTCTTATGTCAGGTGATGTTAAAAAAAAAAAAAAAAGGCCAGACATTGGTATCGTAACAAGGTGAAGGCAAAGCCAACGGATGGAAAATACACATCCTTGCCTTGATTCAAGAAACCATTTAGAGAGACATCAAAAATGGAGCTCCCCGAGCGTCCCTTCTTTTGTTACAAGCCAGCAGACAGAAACGCATTCCTGCGGGAGAGTTATTTAGGAGAACAGTCAAGCACTTCGACTATGGCTAGCGAAAAGAGACTTTATCCTTTGCTGCCAACCCACACACAAAATGAGGGAGTTTAAGACCACACAATTCATTGTCTGTACCGCTAACCTTGACAAGCTCATACAGAAGGAGAGCACTGGCTTTTACGTGAGGTACAATCTGGTGCAAAGAAATTCTGCCTGTCTGCCATTCTGCAAAGAAAGTAATCCTCACGATGCTGCGCGGATGCCGACTTGACCTGCTCAAAAATTCATACACTTTCCACAGCTCTGTATTGTGCGTACATAAACCATAGCCTCAGATTTATTCAGTAATATTTCATAGTTTTACCAGCACACACTAAACACTGAGTCATCTCTAGATCAATCAAATGGGACAATTGTAGTGACAAATGTGCTCAACCAGAGGTTTAGATCACCCAGAGAGTATGGTGAGGAACCTTGATTACCAGGTACTAGAAATAGCATTTGTGCGATCTTTTCTGCAATTCAGTTTTGGAGCTTCCGCATGATCTAGGAGCCAGTCACAAGAAGGAGTGATGTGATGTCATTCATGACAAAACTCTTTCTAACTTTTTGGTTTTCCTTGCATTTGGGTCATTCAGCACCCTGTGACAAATGCTGCTTGTCTCTCCCAGATCTTTTTTTTTTTTGGGTGTTCTGGCCCAAGTTTTAAACGCAATGTTACACAGGATTGGCAAATACAGTCATACTTCAGTTTTCGACCATAATCCGTTCCAGAAAGCTGTCCGAAAACCGATTTGTTCGAAAACCAAAACCACGTTCTTAAAAAAAAAAAAAAATCTTTATTGAACACGTCTGCTCACAATTGAATGCTACACGAGTAAGCCTCACTTCCTCGTCGACCCGAGGAAGCGTCATTTCCTCGTGTATGGAAGGCGAGAGGAGTCAAGTGGCGCATTCAAGTGCGCTCAGTTTGTTCGAGAACTGATTTTCGGTTGTAATCCGAGGCATAAAAAATTCAAAATTTTTGGTTGAAAACAGAGAGTTTCGAAAACCGAGGTTTGACTGTACTCTCCATCCACCTGACGACGCTTTCCACTACTTTCCCACCTGCTGGCAACATTGCCTTGTGGTATAAAATAGATGGTTTCTGTAAGTGGTGGTATTAATCTTAATCCTACACAACGTGGTCTGTTTTGACCCCAGGTTGTTTCTGTTATGTACCACACAATAATGAAAAACACGACAGTGCCTGTGTATTAGGATTTATTTTATCCATATCAGCCTGTTCTAAAATATGTACCACTTTCAGGTCTTTGTAAGATATAATGATACAGCAGCAATGTTCTCATTTCAAGTCCTGGCATGTTGGTAGCAAATAACGAATTAAACAATTGCTTTTGAATAATAAACACATTTCTAGATAAGATTTTATGACTTCCCTACTCATAGAAAATATAAGGCAGTTTGCAATGGGGTCCATTTGGACTCCATTTGGCGTGAGTTCGATGTCAAATGTCAGTGGGGTGAAGGTGTGCGCAGTAGCGTAACAACATTAGCAATAGCATGAGCGCCTCACA